AAAACATTTCACACCTAATTCTGGAAAACAGACTAGAAAAAATACCAAAAGGAACATCCACATACACTAAACACCTTTCAAGTATTAAAATTAATAAATTATTAAGAGTTTTTATACTGATGTTTGTTCCCAGTTCATTTGATCAAACACGTGAGAGATAAATAACAATAGCTTTAAAATTCTTTCAAAAATTAAGAGAAGCAATTCTTCCCAAGGACTATAGGAAACAAAATTTTTGCTCATAATTTCAGGACACTGAACACATGCACAAGGGGCACAGAGTTTCACATGTCTGTGGTGTAACTCCCTGTGAACAGCACTCAAGCCAGCACTCACGATGGTTCAGACTCCATCTCTTCAGAGCTGCCGTCCTCCGGTAGCCCGGTAGTACTTCATTTGAAAATAGCACATCTTTCAGGATTCTGATGCTTACTGTGTTTCTTGAAATTGTGCTTGTACTTTTTAAATATTTGCTCATTTCCCTGTATTTGTTTATTCCGACCAAACAGTTTGTCCTCAAGTCCAGTTATCCTCCTGAAATTGACTGCTTTCAACTTCTTAGCTGAGTCACCAGTTAGAGAGTTGACAGTTACCAGTGAAACTTGGTTGTTAGCCTTTATCAGTCAAAGGATTTTGTTCCTACCCCAAACCATGGTGGTGAATTTTACAGACTATTGTGTTCATTGTTCATGCTTTGGGGTAGCACCATTCCTTGCTTGAGTGAGGATTTATGAAGTCATGTGGTTCAGAGGTCATTTTGCTTCTTTGTTCAACTAAATTAATCACAAGTAAAAATACAATTTTGGGGCCAGGGTTATAGCTCAGTTGCATAAGTGCCTGCCTGGCAAATGCAAGGTCCCAAGTTCAATTCCTGATACCACCAAAAAAAAAATTGTTCAGAATAATTTTTATAACAGCAACTTATTTATAAACTTCATATAAATATTAATTTCTTCATATACATATTAATTTCTCAATTCATGCTGAGACAAGATCATAAAAGTCCCATAAAATTATCATTTTTCTATCAACCACCATATCTAATATCATGTTCATAATAAAATCCCAGTCCAGCTCTGCCTCCTTTTTCAATGGCAAGAAAACCAGCTCACATCTCTTACCAAAATCCTAGATATTTCAATACCTGAGCCACTATTTAGTGCAGTCAATAAATTCTTCAATGAAGAAATACAACAGTGAATAAATCATGGATTCAAACAGGCTGTCAAAGAGGCCCTTCGAACTTCAGCTAGTTGAACTTTGTAAACTCATGGACAGCTTCCACTAAATCATTGTGTGATAAGCCATCAATTGGTGTCACCTTGTGTCCATGAGTTGATTCCTCAACTAATGGCCAGAAGATGACAAAGCTGAGGTCTTAAATTGAATTTTTGCAAGTGCTAAATACTACCACTACCTTGCTCCTCAGAGGAAGCCGATGGCATGCTTCTCCTGTGGCGCAGCAAGCCCAGCCGCCTTGCTTGCTGCGTGTTTGGCATGGACCTTTGCAATTGATCCTCTCTCCCACTGTGAAGGCTCCTCTTTCGTGTTTCTCTAACTGGACCTTTTATTTGACCATCACTAACCAAAGCAAAACAAAGCAAACTCTATATTTAATCTTCACAATCTCAGTTCTCTTTCCCAAAACAGCAGGCTTATAAATTCTCACAACCCTGAGCCAGGAAATATTTAGGGTTAACTTCTTCCAAGTGAACCAGGCCTCTGCTGGGCTGCTGGGCAGGCATTCACCCCACCCTGCGGGTTTTTGTATACAAAATGTGCCCGAGAGCTTCAAGTCCAGCTTCCTAAAAGCTTCCTTCGCAGCCTCCCCTGTCTCCACTTAGCCCGTCTTGCATTCACTGCAGCCTCTCTGCGATGGGATAAGTGCTTCCTCCTTACAGGCATGAAATAGCCTCCAGGAAAAAAAAAACAAAACCTCTAAAACCCACCCTTGGAGTTGCTTGTCTAGGAAGGGTGTGGATGTAGAAACTTTAGGACCCTGTTTGCTTTGGATTTCCAAGTGAAAACAAATGGAAAAGCCCAAATTACAACAGATTCTAATTCAGTAACTTGTTGACCTTTCTTACAAGTTGTTAAAGTATCAGCAGTCGGAAATTTCCCGTACAAAGCAGCTGGAAAGCTTTGCAATGTCTGCGGTGACATTTGAACTAGAGAGTCTGTCTTCGGAAGGCTTCAGACATGAGCCGGCGCCCGGCTCTGACCTGACTGTCACCTGCGTGCCTGACCTCGCCAGCGCATCCTGTCCAGTGCAACTTCAGCCCCTCGTTTCTGTCCCCACCGGTAAGCGAATCTGCAGACTGACATGTTTGTGTATGTCAAGCTTCATCTGTACTGCCTTAATGTCAAATGTAAATGCTGATGTCACCTATTTGGTGGTGGCTTAGGTGACACCAATTTTATTCTTTGGTTTTCAAAAAATATAAATAGGTTTTGCAAAAAGAGCAGGGAGAGAGAAACTCACTCATGGAGCAAAATGTCACAAGTCAAATTCAGAGAACTCAGAAAAATGTTAACAATGAAGTCAACTTTGTTTCTCTGGGTTCTCAGGCCACTCAAGGCTTAATTTATGGTGGCATGGCTGCCGCCACTGAAGACATCATTCCGTGCATGGCATCCTTCCTCCTGTCCATCTCAGCACTTCCCATGATTATGTATGTGTTAATATGTGCATCTGCTATTCTCATTAACAAGAGAATGCCATGTTGGGTTATGTTATCTTATGAAATGATTTAATTTTCTGTGAGCTCACAGTGTTGGTAGAATGCAATATGAAGAAACAGGAAGACTTATTTACTGCGTATAATGATCACTTAGTCTGGCTGTACTGTTTTTATTCTTGCTGTGAACTTTCACGCATCTGCGATACACTTGCATGGGCTTATATTCATCAAAACAATGCTGACTTTGTTTTGTCAGAAGCAACTCTGAGATGCCCATGAATTAATTGTGCTTTATAGAAAGCTTTCATATAATGTATGGGTTGCATTTTAAATATTAAGTAAAGCTTCTTCTGGCTCACTGACCTTTCCTCATAAAAGGAGATAGAGCATCCCACGAATGTCAACATTAAGCAAAGCCTCTGAGCCTCTCAGCCAGAGGTTTCTAGTAAGAATTCCATCCCCCTTCTTTATTACAAGTTATTTCAGAAGAATTTCATGTCATCCCAATTCCTGGTGTGTGTCTATAACTATTCTTTCATTATATGTGTTGTTTTACAGTGAGACTATTCTATAATCTACAATTGTTCACAAATATACATTTGTGAACTTTCTGTGAACTCTAAGAAAAGACATCTCTATTCTGTTATATTTTTTGTAAACTGAAGTTCTTCTTGAGTGTTGAACTTATAGTTTTCTGGAATTGGGAAAATCTGTTCTTTAGAAATGGATATAATTTCATAATGAAGAACTGGCTGTGAAATAAAGGTTTCTCAATAAAGCACTTACCAATTAAGTGATAGTTGAAATATTTGTGTTTGTTGTTGCTCTAGTTTGCTTGTTTCCTGGCCTCTGTCAGAATGAGCACTGCCATCTCGTTAGATTCATGTGAGGTCCCCATGGAGTTGCCTCCCCATCTGTAGCTGGGGCCCCCTCTGCTTCTCAGATAGCTTGCCACATGCTATCTGGAAGAGATTTCCACTGTCTTGGAAATGCCTCAAGCTTAATGTATCTCTGCTGAAGTCCTTAAAAACACCTTTCATGTGCATCTCATATTTTCATGTGCAGTGCCTCAAGTTACCCTGCGTATTCCATAGAACTGACTGCCACAGAACGCACGTGTTGATTTGTAACTGTAATAGATTCGCATTTCTCTTCTCTACTCCAATGGCCCTGATCACCTGCATTTTCAATGTGGCACCAAGCAATAAAAAGGTCTTCAAAGTGAAGTTCACATACGTAGCTCAAATCAGACCTGCCTGCCTGAGGGGCTGAAAGGGTTCTTTACTCCCCCCAGTGCAAGTCCTGTCTGTTCTCCTAACTAACTTCGTTTTCTCCACGCTCTTGTGCCAAGCCTCCTGTAGCACTATCTGATGCATTTCCACCTGTGTTCACGATTTCTATTATTCTCAGTGATCTGTGTAACAAGATAAGTGACATCAACTCATTTTGCAAAGCAGGTCTAGCCTAGTACGGCCTACTCATAGTGTATAACAACAGATCAGGCTTCGAAATCACTCTTTTTTTTGAGACAGGGTATGCAGGCTAGCCTTGAACTCATGGCAATTCTTCTGCTTCAACCTCCTGAGTACTGAATTGCAGGCATGTGCCTCCATGCCCTTTCTGCTTTATATTATTTTTAATATAATTACAAATAAACCTTCCCCCCTACAACCAGTTCTGTAGATTTCATAGAGATCTGGCCCTGTCTTCCCAAATGTCAATGAATATCTCTCTTGTAGCATTTTTATTGTTTTGAAATATCCACAAAGGGTTTGTTTAATATGTTATAATTTTTATAACTATGCATTTTCATGACTCCTCTCCTATGAGACAATTTTTAAATGTGTTGTTGCCCAGTTTTCATAGCTCATTCACAATACACAGTAGAAATGATTAAACAAATGATTAATCGACCATGGTATTTTGTGTTAATTTTTCTATGATGAAGAGTGTTTACAAGGTTACCCATGTATTTGGTTAGGAAAATGTTCTGTGGAAATCATCTCCTATTTTGTTACCTTGGGACCTGACTGCTCTGAAGAGAACCCCGGTGGAAACTGCCCTTTGTTTGGAACTTTTGGGAAGCCCTGAGCATGCAAGAGGGTACTTGTATATAAGAAACCATTGTCATGCTTCCAACGGAGTCAGCATCTAGCCACTCATTCCAATGTATTTATTGAATCCATAGGATTGGGCCTTAGTGGATGGAATTAAGATTATGACAGGAACTTGGAGAAGGGGTCTGAGCTTTTGATCTCAAGGGCTGGGCAAGCTGATTGTATCTGCCTGTCCTCATAATCCTAGCTAGCCCTGTGGAAGAAAACTGAACAGCTGGATGATACTGTGCAGAAAATAAAGCAATTGTATCTAAAATGACATGATTATCACAACTTTAATCTGTATGGATAACTCATATACATACAAAGCTATTACATCTCACATGATGTCTATGAAGTTGCTCTCTGTTTTCCTATGAGAACCCAATGTTCAGAGAAATAATGGGATGGGATACTCTCACTCTGTGTGTGTGTGTGTGTGTGTGTGTGTGTGTGTGTGTGTGTGTGTTTATATGATTGCATATGGCAGGTAGTGCAGGAGAGTTGAGCTCTTAACCCATATTTCTATTCTAAATTCATTGTTCTTTTCCACAGCAATACTTGGAAATTATGTTTAAAAATGGTCCTATGGGGGAAAATATTTCTTTTGTTGGATTCAATCAGTAATGAGAAACAATTCCATTAATGTCACCTCTGGGTTCTGAAGTGTACACACAGTGGGGTTTGAGGCCATAGACAGTTCATCTTAGTGACCACCATGAAGACCATATTCACCATTTTAGTATTAATGAGAAACATATATCTAACATTTCTAGTAAACTATATAACAAGATCTTACTTAATTTTGTTATCATATTAAAATATAGAAGCAAAATAGATCAAATTTTTCTAGACCACACAGATAATAAGTGATAGAATATCTTTTCAAACCCAGGCCAAGCAGTTTAGAATTTAATTCTCTGACATGTCATGCCATTCATGTGGCTGGACTGTAAGGACATTAAGTGACATGTGCTTGGCGAGTGTATCCCCTTATGTGATGAGTGCTGCATATTCCACAACTGTGTGAAAACCAGCTCTTAGGTCCAGCATGAAGAATGGAAAAACAAGCTTTGTGTAAATAAATAAATGCACACAGTAGTTGCCACTCATCCCTAGACATTTGTGAAACTATAGGTCTTTAATATCTTATAATAATCTATTATGCACTTATTTATGAAAATTACACTGAAACTGTCTTTAATTCACGTGGTTTTCTGATAACTGGTCATCTTTGAAGTTTAGAGTAATACCGATGAGTAAGTTGATCATTTATCCATATTGTGATCACTGTACAAGAACAGGAAGAGGATGGACTAGTCTTGTCCGAAGCAGGATCCACATGCACTTAGGCAGGGCTCTCTCCAGCATCTCCTGTGCCTGGTGCTACTGAGGTTCAGCTCCCAGCCAGCCCGACTTACTGTTTTGTAATAGTGTCTGCACTTCTGTGCTTGGTGTTTGTCTTGGCATTCCCTCAAGATCCTCAGGGAACTGTGCGTATCAAGTTTATACTTTATTGTTACTCTGCTTGACCCAGATGGAGCTTGTTTCCAAATACAGATATCATATCTCTTTAGAATGTTGTGTCCAAGTACAGTTAGGCAGTTAAGCACAAGAGAAATACCTTATATTTAAAAAACATAAGTAGCTAAACTCATCTCAATTATATGAAGACAAGATGATAACAATGAACATCAAATTATACTAAAGAAATTCATATTAGGCAAAGTAGATATTTGTTCCATAAATAATCACATAAACTGACCAAATTGGAATAGGAAAATAATTCTGGTTCCAAAAGATTGAACACATTTGGTCTTCGTTGATGTTTGTTTAAAAAGCAAATGCGTCCGACTTCTAGTCTTGCATCTTCCAAGATGATAAAGAAATGATTCAACCAATATGTGATTCACTTCATCATGTTGCTGAACACGTAGTTTAAAGATCTCTCTTTAAAATCCTTTGACACTAATATATGCCATAATTTCTTTCTAGAGATTAGTAGTTAAAATACATGTGATTCAACTTTATGTCGATTACTTTATTTAATCTAGAATTTTATAGAATTAACAGATCCTAGAACCTGGTTGTATTTGAAGAAATAAATGAGGCATTTTGGAGGAAGTAGTTGGAGGATTTGATCTCTCTGCTGTGCTCCGCTCCTCTTCTGTAAGGTAGTAAGATTAGTGTGGTTGATTTGAAAGCCACCTGCGTGGATAGGAAAACTCTAACAAAATAGATTTAGAGACTTTCCAAGCTGTGGTGCTGAGATAAATTAAGGTAAAAGCATAAAGATAAATAAATGACAACCCTGTTTCTAATATGCAAATAACATTTGCAAACATTTTATAATTTACACAGCTTTTTTATATTTGATTCTTGCTTCACTATGTAAATCAAATTATTATATATTGCCCATTTTACAAATGAGGAAACTGTTCATCTAAGAATAAAAGTGACATTTATAGTAAGTAAAAGGCCAGAGGTGTAGGTTCAGACTTTTGCCTCCTACCACCGTCTGTTC